CCCTTTGGCTTTGGTAGCTCTCGACAGAGGCCAAAATCAAAGAGTTGAATGACGTCTCGTTCGCGAAACCCCAGGTTGGAAGGCTTGAGATCTCTGTGAAGACAAGACAAGACAAGACAAGACGAGGCAAGCAACTCGGTGAGAGAAGGTCCCAACAACAGTGCAGACAGAACCAGAACAAAAAGTCCCACTTGTTTGTGTGATTTGATAAGCTTACCGATAGACAATGGATTTATCGTGTAGATAGTTGAGCGCATCGGCAATCTGATGAGCATAGCGCAATGTTCTCTGATAGTAATGTGGTGGTGGGTTGGCCCCAGCGACAAGGAGCGGATGTGTCGTAGTGGCCGTGGACCCATCTGCATCCTCTCCCGACGACGGAGACGCGTGCCGTTGTTGCCATCGCTGGAGTCTGTTTTCCAGTGTTTCTTGTAGATGATCCATAATGATAAAGAAATCGTCGTGCTTGCCCGTTCGAAAGGCGGCACTACCTCCCTTTGTGAGAGCCCGTGTTTTGATAATGTGTCGATGCGACAGGGCTGCCAGGTACTTGGATTCCACAGCGAGATCGATGGCAGCATGTTGGAATTCTCGTGTATTGCTCAGGAGTTTCTTGCGTAAACACTTGATGGCGTAGTTGGGGCGACCCGAGGATGAGGAAGTGACGGCTGCTTTACAAGCTCGTCGTCGCGCCTCGGTAGCGTCAAAGAACTGGGTGATATCGCTGCTGTCAATGGAAAAGTCCGAGACCGTGTAGACTTCCGCAAAACCACCTCGCCCCAGCATCTTTCCCAACTGAATCTCGGATCGATGAAAGAGCGCAATGTCATTACTTCGATCCGTGAGACTGTTCAGAAACGGCGACTTGTCGCAAAGCGCCGCCACTTCCTCATCGACCACCGCCGCGGCACGACGAACCACACTACTCCTCATCCAAGAATTCCGTTTCTGTCGCGCCAAGCCGCTCTTGTTGTTGTTGGTTTTAGATGGAATCCCATGAGTCGACGCAGACCTGGGCAACATCATGGCCTTGGGAGCTTTGCCAGGCACTTGGAACGAGTGGGTACTGGTCGCTTGTAGAGAGGAACAAGACGACAGCGTCCTCATGTCGCTACTAGTGACAGAGGTGGCCCCACTGGAAGGTTCGGGAGTAATAATGCAGGAGGTGGACATGACTCTTTGGATTGTCGTTGTTGTGTTATGTTGTATGACGTGAAAACGGATACTATCTCTCTCGACTCAACAAAAGTTTGCCTGGTGCTGGTGGATACCTTCCTTTCGTCTCGCACTCTTTCCTCTTTCACCCTGTCGTCCGTTCACTTCCACACTCCAAATACCGTGCCAGGAAGCTATCTACCCGTACAACAGGACCCTCGCCTCTCCTCAAACTCAAGCGGTAACACACTTCCGCTTCCACGGATAGAGAAGAGAGAGAGTGAGCAAAAGAGCAGCAAAAGCGGTGAGGGACCAAGCAAAGAGAGACAGAGTTCGACGTTGCCTTGCTTGTGCAGTTGTGCGGAACTTGATGTGAAGTGAGAAGAAGCGGTATTCGCTACCTATAAGTGTGAAGGCCCCAGGTTCTGCTTTGGACATTGGAAATAAGGGCATGTTAAGTCTAGCAATCTTCTTTTATTTATTGGAGGTCATGGATTGAACCATTCGATACAGCTAAATGAGTCGAGAAAGGGGGAAGCAAATGCTTCCCGCGCTCGGGTTGCACTTGCAATTGGTGGCTTGGAGGTCGCTCCGACATGCATGGATGTTGCCGTCAGCGCACTCGCTGCTACCGGTAGTACGGTACCGTAGCAGCGGTGCCCGACGAAGAGCAGCCTCCCTTATAGTATCGAACGTCTAGTGGGAGAGGCTCCGATTTTATGGCTGTGACTGGTTGTTGGTGAGTGTTGTGCTACCGTACCGGTACCAATGCATAAGCCATGAAGAGCTGGATTTGGTCTCCTGGAGTCTCCCCCCAACGCAGCATTGGTCTAAAATCCAGACCGCAATGCTAGACGTCCGAGTCGAGTCGATTCTAGACAGACTAGCTGGAAGTGATACTTGCTTGGTCTGTAAGATTGCGCATCCAAGCCAAATTGTTTCGGTTCTGTCAAGCTGCAAGGTTGGCTTCATGCTAGTAAGACGATTCTATGACCATGCCAAGATCTTGACATGATCTTGACACTTGGGTCTTCTTGGGAACCGCTTTCTTTGCCTTCTGTGGAGCCAGCGCCAGTGCCATCTCCAGCCTGACATGGGTCTGAAGCGCGAATGCTCTGCCTGGTATTGGCATCGTCTGATTTGCAGGAAACTTGATCTACTGGTACCTGGTACCGGTGCTCGGTGGGAAATGCACCAGGCTTTGGTCTGTGGATACGATCGTCAGCAATCGAGTTGCTCCAAGACGCATCGTGGCGGTTCGCACATGCAGTACATCATAGTATAGCTAAGCATTGATTAAAAGGTGAAGGGTCCGACTATTGCAGTATTCAAAATCCCCAGAATGGTAGGACCAAGTTCATCGGCAATGGCACGGTCCAACAGATCCGGCAGAAATGCATTCACGTCCAAGTCAACGCCGTTGGCAAAGACAACGTTAGATGTCAGTGAGTCCACAGATAGTTCTGCTCGTTCCACCTGGACTTCTCGGACTCGGTTGGAGATTTCGTCGGAGAATGCAACCTCTTTCGAGTTGCCACTGGCTTGCAAGTCTATGCTGAGCCTTGTGGGGCTAAAGCTTACGAGGAAACCAGACATCGTCTGATGCACGCCTTCACCACAGGCATCCCCCGAAAGCTCCACCTCGATGAACACTTCCAATCCGTTGGGTAGGACGCCATCGGCGAGGAATGTACCTTCCCAGTCGAAACCACTGAACGGAACGCTCGAAATGACACTGTCGTCTGAAACTATAATCATATTGCTTAGTTCAAAGGTTCCGAGGCCAGTCAATGATCCAAACCTGTATATGACTGTGCCCGCGTCGGTGCAGTTCTCATCAAATGCAACTGACGGTATTTGCTGGATAAACTCCACATCTTGCAAACTGACTGGGTCCGCCGAGTGCCGCAAGACGTTTGATATTCTGGTGCTGATAGATCGGCTAAAGTCTCCGATGATATCATCAAAGGTTAGGTCTTGAGAACTTCCTGCGGTGACAGATGATGCACAGAATGGTTGGATTGCAGCCAGTGCTAGTAAAAGAGTGGTAGAAGTTTGCATTTTGAGGCTGGTACTGTTGTACTTTTGTGATCAGTTAGTTGGTTTCAGTTGGTCCGAAACCAGGAGTTTATGGGAGGGCAATACTCGAACTTCTAGCTAACCTTAGCCAGCCTTGTTGACATTCTTATCCCATGTCAACGTTTACTGCCTTGCTGTTCCTGTCTCCGGTCAGCTGGATCAACCACCATCCCTCCTTGTGCAGAGCATTTCAGCCGAACCAAGCAAGAATGGGGATTTTTCCACGCTGTGCTGGCGTTGCTCTGCCAGAGTGCGACTATACTAAACCTGGCTTCTTCAGGGCCAATCCTACTGGCTATTGATGGCTTTGCTGCAGTTGTGCGTTAACAGACTGGGGAAAGTGGCTGACTGACTGGATGTGGCAAACTAGCCTGGAACCCACCAGCACGCAAGTTTTGATATAGAATGACCTGCCTGAATGGCTGATCTGATCTGATCTGATCTGATCTGCTAGCAGCCTTCCCAGGCCACCAGCGACAATCGATGCTGTTAAGAGCTGCAGAAAACATCCATCAATCTCTTGGCGTTTCCAGCTGCAGGCCATGAAACGCTTTACATACCGGTATAATCTAACATGTGCGCAGAGCTGACGACGGCAAGCAAGATTAAGGATGTCCCACGGGGTGTTTTCTTAAAAGTGTGAAACATGCACCGTTTACTAGCATTATCACGACAAGAAAAGTGAGAAAACTCCATTGTGAGGCTAGCTTAGACCGATTGCCGTTCCGGGCTTGGAAACTGTTGGAGTTAGGAGCGAGTGGTTGATCTAGTAGCAACAGCCACTAATCTTCACATAAATCCATCGTCTTTCTCTTGACACCTCCTTCCGTAGCCTTTGCACCGTAGCTCATGACACTTTTCTCCTCAACCACCTTCTTTGGATCAGCCGGCATGAAGGTACTGTAACGAACACCTCTTGGATTTGGATACAATGAGCGAACGGCCTTTACGAAACAGGTTGGCAACTGCTTGCGGCCATTGATGAACTTGTACCCATTGACGGCGTAGTACCAGTAGAAGCACCATCTCTTGTGGTTTGGAGCCAAGTCATCGAACGAGTCACCATCCAATTCTCCGTTCAGCCTGCTGGAAACAGAGAGATACAAGTCGTTCACGTCCACATCCTCAAGAGGCAAGGTAAGAAGAATGCACTGCATGAATCCATACTCCGAACAGCACTGGCAACTGTTGTGATGTCCCTCTTCTCCAATCGCGGGCTGTGTCACAATGAAGTAACTTCCACGTTTGTTTTCCTCTTCATCATACAGATCGAACGTATCGAGGAGATTTTCCCGCATGTCGCATCCACGAGACTTCATCAAGTCAAAGTCCATTTGCTCCTTCCAATGCTGACGGCTGAGGTCATGCTGGATCCAATTTCCTTGGAAGTAAGGCCCTTTGTCAGGCGCCTTCATGAGACAGTGGATCGACTCATATGCATCAATCGAAGTACTCTTCTCTTCAAGTGGAACCACTGCTCCCAACCTGGACACTGCCCGAATGGCCTTGGCGTCAATCATCTTCTCAACTACCGGTCCGCGGTAGATATGCCCAGTGGCTGGATCAACAACGTCACGCATGACGATGGGAAGAAGATCAATGACCTTCTTGTTGGGTGGAAGCTTCCAGCGGAGGTCCTTGATGAGCATGTACATCTTGTACGTGTAGCTACGGTTGGATGTCTGCGTGATGATGGCATAGTCATCCACCAAGACAGTCGATCCAACGTAGATGTTGTATGCAGCGAAATAGTGGGACAGGCCACTGTTAACCGTGGCCTTGAACATGGTACCACTTCCATCCATCAACACAAGATTGTAAGACAACACAGTGCTGGACATGTCGTGTGTCTTGTACTCACGAGACACTTTCTTTGCCTCAACCACAGTAAAAGCAGGGGCAGATTCGGTCTCTTCGATGGCCGTGACTCTCACCCTTCTCCTTTCCCAATACTTTTCGTCAGGCTTCACTGTCACTGCCGTCGCGAGCAACCACCCATGTGCAGGACACTGGGAAAGCAACAAACTCATACAAGAAGCATACATAGCAATCAAGAGCTCATCATAGTAACTCAACTACTGAAGCGCGGTTCATGTGAAAGTTGTAAGTACACAACGGCGAAATGGCGCAACAGTGTACAATGGCTTCTTTCTCTTTTTTCAGTTACCGTGATTCCTATCGAGCGTCACCTCACCGTCGATATTTCAATATCTTTCTTCCAATGCGAGATAACAGTTTCGGCGCTCACTATTCAAACACGACAACAAACTAACTTGCTGCTACCGACATGGTAACAGATCGGCATGCCACTCTCCAATGACATGATAGCAAGTCACTATACATTGTTGAGTACGGGGCAGCAGGTGCCGAAGAAAGAAACATAAAATATTGGCTCACTATGAGCAAAGTCAATGCCACAACAGCGATATCCATTGGTTTCGGCAGTTTTTCATTGACCGACGGCAGTTACTTTGGTGAACACACACACAAACACATTTTATGTTCTTTCATCAAAGAGATAGAGCATTAATCTACTCTATTAGATGGAATATAACAACATGGACATGCGATTGTGTTTTCGA